AATTGGATAAACTAATCATATAACTATAAGACCCGTCATTCGTGATACAAATAATTTTTGCGCATAACTGTAATTTTCATTGATGTAATAGTTATCAATGTTTTTACGTCGAATGTAATATGGAGTTGGTAATGAATTGAATTGGAATTGAGTTGAAAAAGTGATATATATATCATCAGTTAAGCTTAAATTATTCAGACTAAAATGACTAAGTCAAATTCACCAAAATAAACTAGATTCTATAATTTATGAATATAGCAACCTAGAATAAGAGCCTACAATCACGAATAAGAAAAATACAAACTAGTATAAATATAATCAATTAAGACATATCACCACCAATCCAAATCTAAAAACTAAAATAATAATACTTATAATAATTTGAACTTATTCTTGATGAATGATTTTGATCGCCAAGAAAAGGATGGAGGAAGACTCAGCCTCAAACCAAGCTCAAGAAGGTAGAGGGATTCACTTGTTGTTGTTGTTGTGGAAAATAAACGAAGAAGAAGAAGAAGAAGAAGAAGAAGAAGAAGAAGAAGAAGAAGAAGAAGAAGAAGAAGAAGAAGAAGAAGGGTTTTTGCATATGTTTTGATAGATGAGGAAGGGTAAGTATGATGGCCTAGCTTCCATTTTCCTTTAAATGGCTAGAGGGAAGGTATGGAGCTAAAAAATTAATGCGAGCTGGCGGATCTCGTGAGCTAGAGGTGTTGCTCGACCTACTTGCATGCGAAGAAGACACTCGGTTCGGCTTTGATCACCTGTGAATGGGGTCTCGACTGTTCGCCTATTGTTGCAGCCTCGGTTCACACCTAGACTGAAGCCAGTATGGTCTATAAGACTATAACATTATATTCTTCACACATCGTTTGTTTTGTCTATGCTTGCTTGCTCCCAACGAGTTCCTATTACAAAGTCTAATTCTTAATCACAAGCTTCCGATCACATCCATGCTTTCCATGAGAGCTGTAACCAAAAACTACTCATCCCCTTTGCATACCCCTGGTCCAATTGATGTCTACACCAAATGAGCTTCCATAGCTAAATCCTTTTTTATCTTGATGCTTTCCTCTAGAAAGCTTAGGGTGCAAGCAAACCAAACGTTCGACGAGCTACTCGTTATTCGGTTTGATTAAAGCTCGTTCGTGATCGTTTAATTAACTAAACAAACAAACTTGAACAATATTTTAAATACTCGATTCTTAAATAAACAAGCTTGAACACTAATGCGTTCGGCTCATTTATGTTCGCGAATAACATCATTTGAAGCTCGTGAACAAGGTCAACATTAAGCACGATAAGAAGCTCGATAAAAGCTTGATTCTTGAACAAATTGTTCATAAATATATATAAGATGAATCATAGATCGTTTGTTCGTGAACGTGCTCATTTGATAGCTCGAAAACACTAGTTATATATATTATATATATATATATATATATAGCCTCAAAATACCAATTTTGAGTGTTCAAATGATCATTCGAATCAAGGTTGAAATGTTTTTATAAATCAAATTTTAAATAATTTCAAATTATTTATGTCTATGTTCTGTGAATACAAAATTCATCAGTCATTTAAGTTAAATTAATTCAAAATAAATTTTGAATTTATTTATTTTTAAATTATATGAGCCCATGATTGTTTGGTTTGTTATATTTAGGGTGTAAAAATATTCTAAATACATGAGTTTTGAAAATATTGATGCTTAGTTTGAGTAAAAGGAATACAAGGTGTAAAGGGAGTGTATTTCAAATATACAAGCTAGTGCATTTTGCGTGTATTTGGGATTCCTCAAATTTAAGTGATTTTCAAATACATCGCTAACGCATCGCCATTGCTATCGATTACTGGAGGCTACTGTCAACATATGCAAACGGTCAACATAAGATATTATTCTGACCTGACAGTTTACTCTCCACTACCCGGCTCAGCTCATCATGTGCTCTGCCATCCTCGTTTCTCTGCCGTAGCCGCTGTTACTTTCGGTTACAGCAGCATATTATATACTCTGTAATATTGATCCAATGCAAGAAGCGGATAGATGAGAAAAGTTGAAATCCATTGTTCTTCTCCTCTCTAATCTTGTTCCTTGCAGATTAACATGGTATCAGAGCTTCAGTAAGCCTTACGGCTTGTTGGTTTTTTTTTTCCTTTCGCCAATGGAGTCCGGCAGCTCTTCCACGGCGGACAGTATTCCAGTTCTGCCTCCTCCGGTTGAATCAGCCCCACCTGTTTCGGCTCTGCTTGTTGGAACAGCACTTATCCCCACTCAATTAAAGTTCTTAATGTCTACAATTAAGAATGTGATTACAGTTCAGATTACTCCTGAAAATCATCTTCCCTGGCGATCACAAGTGCTCAAGGTCTTTCGAGCAAATAGTTTCGAAGGGTATTTAAATGGCACTGTTCCTCGTCCGCCTCGTCAAATAGCTTCAGCTACCGGAGCGGTAGTTTCGAACCCTCACTATTCTACTTGGTTGTTGTTAGATCAAAATTTAGCCGCTGCTCTTCTTTCAACTATCTCTACATCCCTTCTTCAATATATTCTGCATTTGGCCTCCTGCTCTGAAATATGGGAGACCATCGGCAAACGACTTCAGTCTTCGAATCGTTCCCGCATTCTTCAGCTGAAAAATGATCTTAATTTTATTTCTATGGGAAATAAAACGATGCAACAGTTTTTAACTGATATTAAATTCAAGGTTGATCAACTTACAGCTGCTGGATGCATTTTGGACTCCGAAGATGTTATTATGTACACCCTCAATGGCCTACCGACCTCGTATCAAGGTTTCAAGACAGCGATTCGTACAAATCTGCAGCCATTAAGCTTAGATGATTTCTACTCTTTGTTATGCAGTGAAGAAACGAATCTCGAAAATGAAGCAGCCCGAGCGCTTCATTCTGTTCAGCTCTCCGATCAATCGGTGGCTCTCACAGCATCCTCTGGTCGAGGTTTACCTCGGCAGCCATTTCGTAACAACAGAGCTCGTGGCCGCTTTACTCAATCTCGTGGGGCACGCACGTCTACACCCCGGATTGAATGCCAAATCTGTGGCAAACTGGGGCACTCCGCGGAGAAGTGCTGGCATCACACGAATCTTAACTATGTTAAGAACAACTCGTCTGCATTTGTAGCAGAGTCTACCGACAATGCTAGCTCATTCGATTGGATTTTGGATACGGGAGCAACTTCTCACATCACCCATGATTCAAATCAAATGCTGCTTCTCAACCTTACCATGGCTATCAGCAAATTCAGGTTGGAAACGGGCAGTCCCTTCCCATCTCTCATACTGGTCATGGTATTCTCCCTACTCCTAAACGTAAGCTGTCTTTATTCCTTGTTCTTCATGTTCCTAAAGTTTCTCACAATTTACTCTCAGTCCATCGATTAACTTCTGATAAAATTTGCATTGTTTCCTTTTCCCCTCATGGTTTTGACATAAAGGACCAGACAACCAATCAGTCGATTCTCTCGGGTCCGTGCTCTGATGGATTATACCCCGTCAGTCTTCCTCCAAGATCATCCTCAACTGCTCTTTACACCACCACTAGCTCCTCTCTTTGGCATGCCAGGCTCGGCCATCCTCACAAGGCAGTTTTGTCCACTGTAGCTCGTTGTTATCCTTTATTAAACATTTCGGTTTCCGAAAATGTTTGTCATCCATGTCAAACAGCAAAGAGTCATAGAATTTTGTTTTTCAATTCTAAGTCAAAATGTACTTTTCCCTTTCAAATAGTTGTGTCTGATGTATGGGGTCCTTCCCCTACCTCTTCTATTAATGGATACAGATATTATGTTTTGTTCCTTGATGAGTTTTCTCGCTTCAGCTAGGTTTATCCAATGTGCACTAAAGCAGAAGTGTTTTCTAAATTCATTCAATTTAATGCCATGCTACAAAAACAATTCTCTAAATCTATTAAAATATTTTGTTCAGATGGCGATGGAGAATTTAACAATTCTCATTTTAAAAATTTCTTTTCCACTCAAGGCATCATACAACAGTTTAGCTGTCCTTATACACCCAACAAAATGGGCTTGCCGAGCGTAAACATCGTCATATCATAGAAACTACTCACACTCTTCTTCTTCAGGCTAATCTTCCCCTTCGTTTTTGGTCAGAAACTGTGTTGACAGCAGTGTATCTGATTAACCGACTTCCATCACAAAATACCCTTTTGGAATCTCCATATCAATGTCTATACAAGCACCCTCCTTCCTACTCACACCTCAAAGTTTTCAGCTGTTTGTGTTATCCTTGGCTTCAGCCTTCTGCACGACACAAATTTGCGCCGAAATCTTCTGCCTGTCTGTTTCTTGGCTATAGCAGCAATCATAAAGGATGCAGGTGTTATCATTTAACAAAGCAAAAAAATACTTATATCTCGTCATGTGCAATTCCACCAGTCGACCACCGCCTCCACCACTGGTTGTCCAGCATTGGCAGCACCTTCCACCGCCGGCCACCGCCCTGCCAGCAACCAACACCGACCAAAGTCAGCTGCTTTCCTTCGCCACTAGCCGCCACTCTCTACCACCGGTAATTACTTTTTTACACTTTATATTACATTCACTTCAACTAAAATTAAAAAAAAAAAGTACAAACATACATTTCTTTTATACTATTTAAATAATTCCAAATTACTTAATTTACATGGTATTCATTTTATTCTGTTTTATGCTGTATTCTTTTTCATGCAACCATAAAAGTGAAACCCTACTCTTTTTACTCTTTTACCAAGAGGGGGAATTTTTAAAATTTTTAACTTTAAATTATAACCGGCGTGGACCGGCCGAACAGATTGCGTAAACTGGGCTATTTTGGGAACATGAGCTGCAACCCAAAATTCCCGTCAGCTACGGGTCACAAAGCATCGGGCCACGACCCGCGTCAACTATTAGACAGCTGGATGGCGGGAAAATGGATGTCATTCTCGTAATTTACATAATGCGGCAAACACCGTCCGGTCGCCATAAATATGATTCACGCCTATCTCGCTTCCTTCGTTTCCAACCTTTACCTTCTTCAATCTTCTCCATCTTCCTTGTCGAAACTCCTAAAACCCAGCTAAAACCCTTCTTCCCTGCCCGACCTACGTCGATCTTAGCTTCTTATGCCCAAAAAACCTGTAGTGATTTCATTTAATTTTTAAATTTTGCGTTTGATTTATTTTTGGCTCTTCTGAATCTTTTGATGAAACCTCGAATCGTCATCTAGAAACTTTATCTGAGGCTTTGTCCATCAGATCTCATGGAGATACCTAGCCGGATCCATCATCTAGATTTCCCCGATTTGCCGGTGAAGTTCTCGGAGCATATCCTGACGAAGACACGAAAGATGATTTCTGCTGGAAAAACGAGAGGCCTTCGGCGAAGGCTCGTACGGATCGTCTTCGCTGACGAGGACGCCACTGATTCGTCATCCAGCGACGAGGATAACGTACCCTTCACCCGACGGCGTGTCAAGAGGCACGTCCACGAAATAGGATTCGAGATCGGACCTCGCTTTCGACGTCCCACGCCGGCGAAGCGCCGTGCGGAAGACCGTGACCCGAAGCGATTCCGCGGAGTTCGGCGGCGGCCGTGGGGAAAGTGGGCGGCGGAGATCCGAGATCCACACCGTAGGAAAAGAGTTTGGCTCGGAACATTCGACACGGCGGAGGAAGCCGCCGTTGTTTACGACTCCGCTGCCGTGAAGCTCAAAGGTGAAAACGCCCTCACAAACTTTCCTCACGGAAAGTTACAGTCGCCGGCGGAGGCTGGATCAACGGAAAAGAGTGTCAAAGAAACCTCCCCGCCGTTCGCCTCTCCGACTTCAGTCCTCCGTATAGCCGTCGAGCAGACGCCTTTCGACTGCCTTGGTTACGGCGACGTCGATGCCTTCGGGCTCAGCGTGGAACCGCCGTTATACTTAACGGAATTTTCGTTGCCTAAGCGGCAATGTTGGGAAATGGAGTTTGGCGATTTCAATGCTGAGGATTTTTCGCTTGAAGTCGTTACGTTCTAGCGTTTATGTGGAATTACGATAATACCCTCATAGTGGAAGGGTAATACCGTAATTAAATTAGTTTTGCATTAGAGTTTTTTTCCGGATGTGTGTAAGCTATAACGGTGAGCAATTAGTATATGTTAGTGAGGCTGGCGAGAGTTTTGTCGTTGATACTCTATTAATTAATTGTGATAAAATTATTAATTAAAATGTTGTTTGTTATGATGAGGAGTAAGTGGAAAATATTTTAAATATAAAATTTTAAATAATTAATTTGATGAAAGGTAATTCGAAAATATTTTTTTGTTAAATTTAAATTCATTTTGTAGTTTTTATTGATAAATTTAAAATCCGTCCTGTTTTAATTGACAGCTCTTATTGTCCAACCGGCAGCTGCCAGTGCTAGCATTGACGGCCACCGTCAACCACTGCTGTCTTCCCCTTTGTGAACGCCAACCTTTCATTTGCCTATGTGGTTTATTCATTTTCTTTTAAATTAAATAAAAAATTATCTTCATTTATTTTAGATTTCGTTCGGAGCATTAAAATAATTTTTTAGTTCAAAATACTTAAAAAGAACTTCTCAAATAAAGGGGGAAGGATCAATTCGAATGTCGGAGATAAATCAGAATGCGTCACGTCATTTCTGTGCTCGGTATAATGGCTTGATATCGCAGCTCAGTATAGTTGACATGGTGCATTCTGGTTGATTTTTGACGTTGTTCTGCATCGAATAAATAAATAAATTTGAATATTGATATTGTTGATGCTAGCGTAATGAACCTAGAGACATTCATCAACATTAATTAATTTTTATACAAGAAGTAAAAGAAGAGACTCAAGCAAATCATCTAGATTTCATTCATAAAGCTATGTGTAACAGTAACTACAGTTATGTATTTATATCTCATACGATTTCTTTCCAGAGAAGAGCTTTCTCAGTTTTGGTGAGACCGCGAAGCGAGAGGTGGCGCCGGCGACAATCACTAATGTCGTCTTCTACCGCGGTGCGTTGGCCTTGGCCTGGCGGGTCCGATTATGACTTCTATAACCCGTTGGTTCACATTTAATATTCTCTATAATAACTGAATATCAGTTTAAAATTTTTTAGGCCACTTTGGCGTTTCAAGCATCATTTTCAGCATTCGGTGGTTTTTATTAATCTCTTTTTCCGTTCAAACTCGGGCTACTTTTGGGATGGTTTTCTTAGAGCTTCTTAAAATAATTTTTTAACTAAAAAGTTGATATAAGTAATAAGAGGCTTCGTTTGCCATGGCACTGTTACTATTTTGTAAAATTATTTTTTAGTACAAAAATATTTTTAAAGCCGAAAAAATAGTAATCTAAAGTTGTTCCAAATGAAGCATAAAATTTTATTTTGTAGCGTAGCGGGCAGCGCGGCGGGCTGCGCGGGCGGGTGGAATTTAAAATTTTTTAAATTAAACGGGTTGGCAGGTTTACCCGGCAACCCGCCGAATCAACCTGAACATGACCCGTTTTTTAAACGGGTCAATTTCTGGAACCCGAACCCGACCCGTTTTGAAATCGAATCGGGTTCAACCCGAATTTTCCGGGTCAGGTCCGAGTCGGATTTTCGTGTCGTGTCAAATATTGACACCCCTAGTGTAATCAAAATAATATAATATTATTGAGAGGCAATTATTTCTAAAATGAAATTTCAATGAAATTCAGCTTATTATATCGAAGACGCGACTTGTATAGATGTAATGTATCTTTTAAGTTCTCACTTTTTTTTTTTTTTGGGACAGTTAGGGGATTTGAGCCCAGGTGAGATGGGAGGAATTTCTTTCGTCGACCACTCGGCCGCAGACCCAATCTCAGTACTGGCTTCTTACTATTTTATTTTTTTAAACCATAATTATAATTTTGAGTGATTACTTTTTTGGTTGCTTTCTCATTATTTGCTAGAAATTTTTATGATGGATAGTTATTTTTTACCATCAAAATTTTTAATGTGTGGTATATTTAAGAAGATAGCTATTTGATTTCTTAAAAAAAAATGAACCTTTTTAGATAATATCTCACCAAAAATTTATCTTAATCGGGCACAAATCTCGATGCAAATATGAGTTGTAGGATTCAAAAATTAAATTCGGGATCAACCAAACTCCGATCTCAGCAAACTTATAGTCAAATCAATCATCTTAAAGAGACGAACTTGATGACACCAAATTCATTCCAATCCGAGCCCAAATCAAAAGATCAAAGCATGCTTAGAAGCTTTAGAGTATTAATTGGATGACAAAATGATATTCAAATATGATATGCTTATAATCAAATCGAGTGGTGCGACAAGACGAATTCAACGAGCTCAAGATCATTCAATTTTGACATAAATTTAGCACTCAAATGCTCAATAAATGCTCTATGATCAAAGGAATTAATATCAGTCGTCCCATAGAATACTCCCAACATGCCCTAGTTTTTCTCCATAATGGAACTATTGCCCAACTATTGCTAATCAACTCTTTGACCATCACAGCATTTGGAATCCTGGAGTTTTATCTGTGGCGTGCTAGGGCTTTGCCCAAGCCGCTCTCTATCGACGGTGCTTGACTTCTTACTCCGCGCGGTGAGGGAAGTTCTTCTTCCCTTTTGTTTTTATTGTTCTTGTGCTTTCTTTTGCCGGAATGGCGGTTTGTTCGCATGCCAATCTTGATTTCCTGGATGGATCGGCTAAGTCCCGCTCATTTTTGGAAGCTTTCACGGGGTCTCTCTTGGTAGATTTCCCGACCTTAAACGGTCTTACTTTTGTGGTGTTTTTGGTCTTTTGGTTTCATAAGAGAAGTTTTTTTGCTATTGCTGAATTCTTTAAATTTTCGCTTGTTGGTTTCTTCCGTTTGCGACGGCCTCCTCTCGCTTCGATACGAAAATTTTTTTCAACCTTTGATTAAATTGTATTTTCTCTGTTACCCTGTTGGATCAATCCCTTGTCCTCATTAAGATGGAGAATGATCTTCACTATAGTAAGGTTTTTTGTCATAGGTCTTATCTGGTTTTAAATTGCTTCATGAAGGTGTTTAAATGGTCTCCTTACGATGACATTGAGGATGAGTCTCCCATTGTCCCGAACTAGATTTAATTCCCTAATTTGCATCCCATTTTTTCTCATCTCGTATCTTATATGGTTTGGGGCTTCTCTTTGGTAATCTGTTGAAGGTGGATAATGACACTACGTTGGGGTTTATCCCGTGTGCTGGTAGAAATTGATATTATGCAAAAAATTTTGGACAAAATTTGGATAGGTCCAAAGAAACTAAATTGTTTTGAACAAGTTACTATGGAGTATTTTCCTCTCTTTTGTGCCAAATGTAAGCGTCTTGGACATTGATTTGGTTACTGCCGGCCTCCTCTTGATGCTAGCATGGATGTTGTTCCTTCTTTATCTAAACCTGATTTACAGGTTATCAGTGATATTGTCATTCTAGTGGGTGTGGGGTATTTAGATGATAATGTTCTTATTGTTCCTAGTCCCAATGTAGCTGTTCCGTCTCCTGTTGTTTTACCACCTGTGAATCATATTGGTAACCATGAGAGTTATGTGGATGTGTCTCCCGTTTCTTTGCCCATTAATTCTTTGGGTGGTGATGTTGTTGGTGATGTTGGAGTTGGTTTAATTCCTAGTTTGGATGGCAAGGTTGTTTCCATTCCATCTTGCCCAATTCATTCTCCTACTGTCCTTGTTTCTGTTCTTGCGACTTGTTCGGGTGGCTCACCTGTTGTCAATGGTGTTTGTGGTGCTGGTGAGGGAGAGGGTTCTCCGATTGTGGCTCATGACAGTGCGACTTAGCTGTAGTAATTGTTTTGTTAATTTTAGAGCGAGTCCTACTCATACTGATGGTGTGGAGTTTTTGGATTCTAATTCTATTTCTTTAGCTGATGGTGGTGATGAGTCCTTAGTTGACTTACGGAAGGCCGATGTGGTGCCTCTGGTGGATGTGTCTATTTCTATTATTTTTAATGATAATATGCTAGCCCAACTTGCTAGGGATTGTGTTTGGTGGCAATGCGATTGGCTTCATGTTGACTTGTCATCTGATAGAGGGGATGATACTTTTGAAAGCAATTTGAAAACTGGCTCACTTGATAATTATGTTAGGCACCATAAAAGAAAATCTAATAAGAAATGATTTTCATCGTGATTATGAGGAAGTAGTCTTACTGTGATTGTGGTTTTTGGCTTTTTTCTGTTTTGACTGTCATGGTTATTTTGGATCAGGACTATGAGGAAGCAGTCTTACTGCATGCACCTTTGATGGCCATGGTTTGGGCAACTTTAGTGGTAAGGTATGTTTGGTGCTTATTGGCTTGGTTTCTTGACATATGATTTGATCCTCCTAGATGGCCCCTCCGTGGAAACTAGGTGTCGGTCTGAGTCCTTTTGGATCCGATTTTGGTTTTGATTTGTTTTTGATTTGATCTATTTTTCTCTCAGATTACTCTTAACCTGTTGCTTTTTATTCTTCCCTGATTATAACCCCCTGATGTGGCCCTATTATGGTCTTGCGGTGTATCATTTGCTTTTAATAAATATTTTGTTTTGTTAGAAAAATTGCCTAACTATCACGAGAACTCTTCATGGATTCTACCAGCACCGGATCTCCTCTTAAATATTGTCATATGCCGACTGCAGTCCTTCTGATCACAGTCACCCACCAATTACAGTTCTTCCGATCACCGTCCCCTGCTAACTATGGTCATTCTGATTACAGTTGCCGGTTGATTACAGTCCTTTCCACCACCGTCACCCACCAATTATGATTCTTTGAACCACTGTCGCCCGTCGACTACGGCCCTTTCGATCACTGTCGCCGACAGACTACAATCCTTCTAACCATCATCGCCCGCCGACTACGATCCTATTGACCAAATAAATATTCAAAGACTCTTAAGAATTGTTGACATGTAATACATTATATATAATGAGTATTTCGTACATTGAGCAAGCACCCTCCTCCAATGAGGGATATTTTTTATAATCAACCATTAATACTGAAGAATTCATTCAAACTAGGCCAAACCCCTTAATTTTTTCCCTTTTAGGATTTTCGTTATAAAATTTTTTGTTTCTCCTATGAATATTGCACCATACTCTTTTATTTGTATGTATATCTGTTTTTCATATAAAACTAGCATCTAGCACCGCAAATATTCCAGAACGCAATATAATTTTTAATGTCAAAATATTT